CCCACATCCCTCAGTGCCACATCTCCATGGCTCTTGGACACCTCTAGGGACTGGCACTCCACCACCTCACGGGCAGCTGGGCCACTACATTACCGCTCTTTTGGAAAAGAAATGTTTCCTAATATTCAACATGAACAACTTATGGCCGTTACCTCTCATTCTATCACTAGTTCCTAACCAATCTCTCAGAGAAACACCAGCAGGACTCTCCAAATCTATCAAACACTGAAGATCGAAATCAGTAAACATTACAGCTTGAGGTCAGTGCCAGCATAGCCAAGAGAGAGCAGCATAGGATGGCAAAAACACCAATAACCAATAGTGTAACATATAGTAATAACCAAAGGAGACAAGATTTACTGATCAAATCAGATGCTTTCTTTATTACAGCATCCTCAAAATCTCATCTCTAATACCTCTAGGGTAGGAAAACCTAATCTCTATTTCATAGGTAGAAGAGTTGGGAGAAAGGACAACCATCCCAGACTCTTTCTTTGGGACAGACTGCTGCCTCCTGCAGGTGTTTTCACCCCCCAACGCCACGCAGGACACACTGGTACCTTACAGCTGGATCGTTCAGATTCTCAATTACATTCCTCTCACGAGCCTATTCCATTAGTCCTCAAAATGAGTATCTTCTTGTCTGTATTTTACCATTTAGCAACCACTTTGTGACAAAGAGCGCATGGCTACTGAAGCGTGCTGCGAAGCACCCTGAGCACAGCCTACATCAACACCTTGTCCAACAGACCGGGGCCCAGGGTGCTGAGTCTTCCTTCACTTCTTGTTTCTTATGATGCTTTTACTTTTCTCTAATACAAGTATTAAAATTCGAGGGGAAATGGGAAACAGCTGATGTTTTAAGCATGACTTGAAGCCAAACTGTGGAAAAGCAGAGAAAGCAGCTATTCTTTCTAGACATCACAGTCTGGGAAGCCAACGTTACCGAGTGTGGGGATCAAGGGAAGGTAGGGAAAGAGAGAGGAGCAAAAAAGAGTGAAAAAAGTAAAACTCTGCCCTCTGAAAGTGGAAGGACAAACTGAGAGTCGGTCAAATTAAGAAAACGTCTTTACCTTTGTGTTAATTCTTAGCAACAGTCCTGAAATTTGAATTGAGGAATGCTGAAAGATTTGCCCTCTGGTACAGCACAGAGTAGCACAGCACTGTGGTGAGACAGAAGGTCCTCCCACAGCAGAAACTCTGCTTGAGAACGGGGCTGCATGCAGCTGCAATGTTCCACAGACATACCACATACCCACGCACCATACACAAACCAAAAGCAGTGAGCTAATACATAAACAAGTGCTTCAATACATATCTTTCCCTTTTGTAACCGATAGGAGGGTATAAAATAAATACTATAAAATTAGTGAAAAGAACTGATTTTTATGACAATTGAATAAATGCTACCCTGGATGCGGAAACAACACTGAAGTCAATGTGGACACGCACTTTCCTCCCACAAGAAAAATAATCCAAGCGTTACAGAGCATCTGCTTTGTCCATTCAGCTCCAAATTGTCACTCACTGGGATCTGAATAAAGTACGTGGGAATCTAAATCACGACAGATTAAGGAAAATTCTTCTGCTCTATTCCTGTTCATTACAACCGTTTTCAAGTTGTCTTTCTCATCTCCATCAGAATACATGAATTGCTGCATCGAATGTGGTGCTAAAAATACATAAGAAAGAGCTTTCTCCTCCATAAAATACAGTAAAATAACAGCAGTGCAAGCACTGCACACACCAGGTAATGGATGCTGTTGGAAGCCAGCAGGAGTACTCCCATGGGTCCACCAAGGACTGGCTCAGTGCAACATTCCCCACAACCCACAGTCACCCATCCCTTCCTCTCATGTGAAATGCATGACTGCCTCCCTGCTGCAGCAAATCATAGCACTTGCTTACAGGCACTGGAGCAGAGACCAGGATAAATAACTTGATTAACAGAAGAGTGTCCATTTCTGTGACTTGAAATGGTCTTTTGATTTGATTTTTGGATGATCCTGTGTGGAGCAAGGAGTTGGACTCCTACATCCTTATAGGTCCCTTCCAACCTGAGATAGTCTGTGATTCCACGACATCAAGTCTTCCAAAGCAAAACATGGCACACGTGTTATACAGAGCCATGTCAAGACTGCTTCTGAATACTTGTTCTTCAATTTTCCCCACTGAATTGAGCTTCTGAGGATTCCAAGTGAAAACAAAAGGAAAAAAAAAAGCAAAGCTGGAAATTTTTTTAGCTGAGGACACATGAAACAGGGCTTCTCAGGACTCATAGTGCTCCTAGGGACTGAGAGAAGAAAGTCTTGGTGTCTCATGGGAGAGGCAAAGGGTGGCACTGGGGCAGTGCAGCCAGCTTGTCCCAGCTGGGAATGCTAGAGCAGCTTTACCTCCAGAGCTGCACTCCGCACAGATAAATTGAAAAGAGGACACACTCTGGCAAAAAGAGGATATAAACTGAATGGCAGTGATGGAAGCTATCCAAGCTATCTGAAACTCGTGCACATTATTATCTTTCTCAGCCATCGCTGTTGCTCTTTAAGGAACCGCAGTCTCAGTTCTATCAGCAACCCTGCTGCTGTCCTCCTGAGCTCTCCCAGCCCATCCTTTCAGGAACAGTGGGCTGGTGAGAATCACAGCAAATTTTTACAGGTCTGATTTTCTTTAAAGTACAGCTGTAGTGAATGATCTGTTCTTGTGTTTTTAATGTTTGCAATGAATGGCACAGAAATGTCCCAGCAAAGCTGTGATAGCTTAAATATAGCACACCCAGCCCCAGGCACACGCCTGATAAACTCCAGCCACCAAGAAGCCCCACAGTGGTTCTGTGCTGCTGCTCCCTGCCTTCCCCAAGCAGTGACTGCTATTCTAACACACCATCCATGCCATGGGGATGCAGGGCATGGCACTGCCATCTCTGTCACCCTCGAACCACCTGTGCCCTGGGGACACATCCATTCACAGTACAGTCTTCATATCCTATCCTCTGCTCCTTCATATGTCTTATTCATTCCACCTTTTCATTCTGTTTACTTTCTGTTAATGAGCTTTTTTATGTGGCTAGAATCAAACAGATATAATGACCGCTTGTTTCAGGAGATCAGAAAGAGAAACTGCATGTCATCAGCAGCAGCCCTGGTGATAATAACTGCAAAAGCAATCACGAGAAAAACCATCTCAGTAATAATGATAAGAGTAAAAATTATTGTGCCACCAAGGGCTCCCTGGTGCTGCCACAGCTCTGGATTAAGGCATAGTGGCTGGAGGCTGGCCCAGCCTGTGAATACAGGAGCCAGTCCTCCCTTCTACAAGGCATTTGCTATAGTAGTGCCACGGTTAAGGCACAACCCTCCCTGCAGTGCTTTTATACTCAGAAGGGAAAGACAGAGCTCGTCGTGGGGTATTTAAGATCCACCCCATTCCCTGCCACCTCAAGGCAGGGAGACACATCAGTGCAGCTAAGGTGATGAACAAAACTTAATGAACCCACCACGGCTCTGGGGAAGTCCACCAACTGCTGCAGGCTCTGCTCTCTGCAGACAGGGGCAGAAGCACACAGCAACAAAAAGCTGTGCTACCGCACCAGGAAGCAGCACTGATGGAAGCACAGCAGATACACAACATGTCATCAAGGGCAGGAATGATTTGCTACAACACAAACCTTGAAAAAATCAGATTAGTTGACTCTTAGTAATCACTACGAATATTGCCTGTCTCATCACTGAAGGTCTCAAATGAGGTCAGCTGGGCTGTTAAAAAGGGAATGTGCCCTTACACTTGGGTATCTGAAACTGGAACAGGTGCAGGCTGCACAAGTCACTTTATAAGCAGGTGAACACAAACACAATTCAACAAATGAAGTAAATATCTTTATCAGACATGCAGCCATAAAAAACACCTCCTTGTTCCCCACGAGCATCGTCAAACCAGACTTTCCATTTTCCAGTAATAAACACTAAGTGTTGCCAAATTTACTGATCTCCCCTTGTGTCTTCCCTCCCATTCCTGATGCTGACTGTGAGAAGTAGATTGTATTTTTGTAGTACAACAGTCCTAATGCTAAGGAATTGAATTTTGCTAAACTTTCTTTTAAAATGGCTGCAGGGGTTGTTCATAAAGAATCATTGGGGCATAGCTTAGTACAAGGTAGAGTAAGTTTGCCAAGTAGCTTGGATGTCGGAGTACCTAGACCAGGGCAAGGCAATAAGGAGGGAGAGTCTAGCATGCATTGTCCTCCTGTCCCCCATGAAAAACATGGAAGGCCTAGTATGCACTGTTCACTTGTTCTCCATTGAAAAATGAAAGAACAACAGATGGGGGATAAACTGATATAGAAAAATGTTTTAGCAAGCACACTGGGAAGATTGTGAGCTTGATACACTTAACCAGTGAGCGACAGGAGAGATCACCCATATTGGACAGAGGGTATTCAGTGGAGGGGAACTCAGTGATAAGCTGTGCCATTTCTCTCTGCCATAAGGGGGTATTATGCCCATTACTGCAATAATAAATATATTTGCTGCTTCACAAAGATCTCTGCCTGACGAGGAATTACTGATTCTCACGTGACAGTTCACTTTCAGTGTCAAAAGAGGCCATACAGACCTGCACGCAGATCAGCTGAGAAGGAGCAGCTCTTGCTCTCATTTTTTCTTTCTTGTTTTACATTCTCAACAAATGAAATCAGTATCAGATCTGTATTTATAGAAATACACCCTCCTACCTCATATGCTTGTTTCTGTGTCAAGAAATTCAGAGCTAAGCAGTGGGAAAATGATCATGGCCCTGCACATCTTTTTAAAGCACAGATGGGACTTCCACACCATTTTTATTTCTATATTTACGTTGAAACTATGAATTCAAGGAGTTGCAGAGCCAAACAACACAGAATCTAAAATGTAACAACTGTTAAGACTCTCACTGCTGCTTATTTAAGGGAGAAATCAACTTCTTTTTCTCAACAAAACCGCAAGAAAAGAAACTAAGGATCTACTCACACTGTACGATGAGCTGCACCAAAGCTTCTCTGGGCTTCACATTGAACCCGTTGTACTGGCTGGTCTGGCACCTGTAGGTGCCTGTCATCTCCCGGGACACGTTCACTATCCTCAGGATGCCATCGTAGCTCTCCATCTGCATCGTTCCATCTGGCATCGCCACCTCCTTGTCGGCGCGGGACCACAGGATGATGGGCTTGGGCTTCCCCGTCACCTGGCACTGCAGCTCGATCGTGTCTCCTTCCCGTGTGACCAGGGGGGACTTTTCTTGAGGAACAGTCAGATTGGGTGGGACTTCAAAGGAGAAGGAGAGTTTGACAATTAGCATCACAGAAACATTAAGTAGCTTTCTTGCTTATATGGTTCTAATTATACATCAAGAAATACAGAGCAATGCATATTGATTGCATGTATCAGGAGTCTGTGAGACACTACTTTATTTACAGGGCAAAAAGGCTCAGCTGCTTGAGTTAAAAATAAGATTTAACAGGCCCAGACAAGGAACTTGCTCATCACCCTGCAGACACCCAATGTGCCAAATGCCATACTGGTGTCTATCAGCACACTGGGACCAACTCTTGCAGCTAGCCCTTTATCACCATGAATCACAGCTTTCCTCTGTATGGGTATTTGCAACTAAAACCTTTTTTTATTTTCTTTCCCAACAGACTAGCTGCTGATTTTATCCATCTCAAAGGCCACGCAGAGGAAGGATCAGGCCAATCAGAAAGCAGCTCAGAACTGGAAGTAAAACACAGTTGGCGCATACATAGCACAGGAGGCTCATTGAAGCTGCACTTCTTCAGATATCTCTGCCTTAACAAATATGGAAGGAATAGGTGAAGAACTGCAGCCAACAGAATGAAGGCAACTCTGCGGGCTGGAATAATTGTCACAGCTGTGCTTATCCCTCCTGCTCTCTGTAGCCTTGCAAATGCAAGACCACCTAATTGCAGAATCACACAACCAAAGGGGATGGAAGGAACCTCAAGAGATGACTGAGTCCAATCCCCAATTGCTACCAACTGCATTACAATCACAGACCAACCCGAGCAGGGAGACACCCTTAAGGATCATTGAATCTGACTCTTAGCAATGCTCATCTCAGCAGAAACACTGCAGGGTCTTTGATCAGAAAATCGTGTGTCACCACTTGCAAAGCCAGCAGAGTTCATGTGCCATGCAGCCACTGAGCACCCATGGCCATCCTCCTGGTGGAGGCAGCCCCTCTGCTGTGGTGGCTGCATTTGATAATTACAAACTGCTGCAAGCCCTACAGGCCTGATGAAAGCAGTTTTGCTACCTCCAATTAGCGTCACCATCTCCTCATACCTGTATCAGATTTATATCCAATTTCCTACTTCTTTCTTAGCACGAGGCAAATAAAAGAATCATCTTTGAGGTCACTCCAGATCACACACCTTGCCTTTGGCTCTGAATGTTTTAGGGTGGGGCTGAAGATACGAAAAGCTTGATTTAAAAGCCCAGTTTCCCTTTGTGCCTTATTAAATGTTGGCTGCACTTGCAGGCCTTCCGCCCAGAAATGAAGTTACAGAGCCCCTTGTTTAACACCAGTCACTTACAGACCTGCCCTGCACAACAACATCTGAATGCCAATGCTGACAAAGTACAGCTCGAATAATTTCATTTCTGCCCCTACAGACTGCTGCTGTTTGGACGCTGAGAGGGGCCTTCACATGCAGAGCTCTGCTTGCCGGGAGCACCGCACACGGCAGCCGTTCCCTGCTACCACACCGTGAGGAGCCGGACCCCGTGCAGCTGAAGAGGTGTCTGCACAGAGCTTCTAACAGAGACTCCTGTTACAGCTGGGCAGGGACCGCCCGGCCTCTCCGAGAGCCGCGTCCCTTTTGTTCCGGGAGCTTTGGCCTCTGCACAAAAGCCAAGAAATGCCTTGCTCAACTCAGAGCTGTGTTTGAGTGTGACCTGTGCAAGGAGGGACTGCAGCGTCAGCTGCACAGTGCCGTGGTGAGACGGCTTCAGAATACTGCCATGATGGGAGAGTCCACCGTCCCCTGGGGCAGTGAGATCTGTGCTCGGTCACCTCAATTTCAGAGGATGCTCTGTGATGTTCAACCAGCCTCGTGTGTCCTTTTAGGGAGGCCGAATGCCATCTTATTTTACCAGAACCTCTATCAGCTGGGGAAGGCATGTGAGTTGAGAGGAAACCTTCCATGCTTTGTTCGCTCCATTTTAGTTCTTTGGGAAGAACAGGAAGGCAACAAACTGCCGCTGTACTGCACTATGATTTTGGTGTAGGGTTTTATCCCAGCAGGCAGCTCCAAACGCACTGCTCTCTACTCACTGTTCCCTCTGTGGAACTGGGAGAGAATCAGAACAAAGGTGAAACTTGTGAGTCAAGAAAAGCCAGTTTAGTAGGACAGAAAATGGAGGAATAATGAGTGAAGAATCATCCGAAGTGTCCAGGGCAGGGGTAGAGCTGCCCGGAACGTGATTGCAGCTCTGCTTTGTGACCGTGGCTGACAGTGCCTGTGGATGAGCTCTGTGGGTGCCTCTTCCCCCCAGGGCTGTATCTCCAAGTCATTGTTTGGCATGTTGATGTGCTTCTTGAATCTTCAGTCATGAAGGGGTTTGGTATATTTTTCGTCACCAGATCCATCTGTATATTTTCAAAAACTTGCAGCTACTTAATTACCTCTTGTATCTTAATTCTGCTGTCAAATTTGGCTTGAATTATCAGCAGTCCAAATGCTGCAACGGTGCACGGTTCTGGCCTGTCAACTGACATGCACAGGAAGCATGATGACACAGGATTTGTTTCCACAAGCATTATAGGTAAGGAAAAGCCTTCACAGAAACTTAAATCAATGCAATACCCACAGACAGAAGGAAGGGAGAATTAAAAACCAAAAACAAAAATGAACAAACAAACAAAACAACAGGCTTGAGGAGAAAATAATCATTTGACATTTTGTTCCCTATCAACAACATAGGACTGAAGAGCAGGGGGGAGGCAGCTGAGCCAGCAGGGGTTGCACAAGCGAGGCGTGGGAGCAAAGGTGCAGGAGAAAGGTTGTGTGAGCAAGGGCCTGCGAGCAGGCAGAGGGGCTCCTGGGTGAGCACGATTGAGCAGAGTGCCCCCTGCTGTGCCAGGTGCCACCAGCTCTGCAGCTGCAACCGGTTGTGCCAGGAGCTGCCAGCTGTGTTGGGTGCCATCTGCTTGCCAGGTGCCACCAGCTGTGCCAGCCTTCGTCTCCCGGCAGGTGCTGCTGTGGCACAAGCAGAGTCTGGAAGGGACTCAGCCCTCTGCGAAGGCATCTGCACGTCTCTTGCAGCACCAGCTAGAGTCTGCTGCAAATAAAGGTCAATTCTGTTCCTGCTTGTGAAGAATAATAAATTGGCTATACGCTATACCTGAAACAACAAGCATCACCTTATTTACGCTACAATTGGCTTGAAAAATAAGGGAATACTCTTAGTGCTTAAACCCGTTTCCCAAAGCAGAGTCTTATCACTCAAGAAACAAAAGTGTTAGTTACACTGAAGTAGCACCTAGTTTAAAAACACATATTGTTATCCTTTGGAACTGGCAGATCTGAGAGCTACTGCTGATTTATGTCCACTCCTGGCTTTTAAACAAAACTGTCTCAGACAGCCTTTGCCTCCAAAAGCCACCAACTCACCAAAGGTCAGATGGCAGAAGGCATCACTGTATTTTTCTCTACAGGAGAAGGCGTACGGAACCAAAATAGATTGCTCAAAGTCAACATGTATATGCTTTATTATGTTTATGCACTGAGTATTCTGTGTAAACATAAACTAGTCGTAGTCTAGTCTAGATCTTGGAAATCCTGATGAGTCCTAGAATAACAGAATCATATAATCACAGAATGGCTTGGGTTGGAAGGGACCTCAAGGATCATGAAGCTCCAACCCCCCTGCTACATACAGGGCCACCAATCTCCATATCTAATACTAGAGCAGGCTGCCCAGGGCCCCATCCAACCTGGCCTTGAACACCTCCAGCAATGGGAGTCGACTTACTGTACCTACTTTAAACCTTCAGAGAGCTTAATTAACTGCCCTGTGATTGCACAAAGAAGGGAGGGCAGATGCAAGAACCTGCTCACACAGAAATCATTTGACTGGGCAGAAGACAAGCAACATGAGAAGGCCTTAGAAGTGTTGGCCCAAAGGCAAGCTTGAGGGAGAACAGGTCCTCACTGAGTGTTTCATTGGGGATTATAGGGGGCACAGAGAATGGATGTGGAGGTGACTGTCAGTTTTGGGCTCAGTGCCTCCAAAGGACACCATGAAGCCATGACTGCCAGCCTAAGCAGTGACAGGGAGGTGGTGGCTATAGGAGTTGTGAGTTAGGGTGACCGGACTGACTGAAATGATCTAATGGTAATAGCTTGTAATTGCAGGATAAAGGAAAGCAAAGCATGTTTGAGCTGCATATCAAGAAATACTGGAAAAAGTATGGAGATGGCTCAGAAATAAACTGAAAAGAGATTATCACATTGTTTTGAGTAATTTGAATTTGCAGTAATTTGCATTTTAATCATCCTGGACAGCCAAGACTGAAGAATGTACACTGTACTGGCTAGGAGGCATAAGTGAGATTATTTGCCTATCCCCCTGCTCTAATATTTATAAATGTGAAGGTCTGAATCTCTAATCCTCATAATCCTCAGCAAGACACAACTATTTCAGTCCCTGTTCCTGATTCATCCATTATGTGACTGTGGTGGGAGCTGCAAGATGGGTAAGAAGGGCAAACTGAACTTTAGAATCGGAAGCCAACCTGGAGTACAAGATGCACTAGAATGAGATCATTTAGCCTGTGCAAGGCAGCAAGGGGCAGTTATTCAGGTCCTCAAGACATGTTCTGTAGACAGGGAATAAAACTGTTCAGTCTGCCTTTAAAGTGCATTTCTTTAAAAAGTGTGAAAACCAGGAAGAACTGCTGAAAGGTTCTGCAGAGGTGGGCAGGGCAAGCAGCCCAGGACAGGGAACTTCTTTCAACTTTCCCATGGCCTTTCATCACCAGGAAAGAGGATCTACCGAGTTCCTCCTCTGGAAGACAAATTGAGTGAGGAAATCGTGCCTTGATTTGAGTGAAATCACTTTCTCTGACTGTGTGCTGTCCCCACAGGCCACGTTTCCTTGAGCATCAGCCCAAAGTGAAGACACGAGCAGCAACCACTGATCTCATGGGAGCGCTTGTGCAGAAGATCTGTTCAGACAGCAAAGTAATTCCAGAATCAACACTCAGCTCACCACGTTCCTACTGCCTTAAAACGCCACCTTAG